ATTAGCATAGAGAAAGGAAGCATGACATATCACACTCACTCACTCACACACACACACACATCCAGCTAATCAAGACCAGTTAGTTCTACCTCCCACGTATTTTTAAATTGACTCAATTCTTTTTATCCCCAGTGATTCCTTCCAGATTCCAAGCCCCTGAATTTCTCAGTGGGAGCCACTAGAATAGCCTAACCAGTCTTTTCCATCCAGCATGTCTTCCTCCTCAGACTTGGTACTCCAGCCAACGTGTTATTTTACATCAGGTCTTATCACAGCCCTGTCAAATCCTTCAGGGACTTCTCCTTTCCTTCAAGTCCAGAATCTTGAATGTGACCCCTAGGGAAGGAGATGTGATTTGGCCCCTGCCCACCTCTCCCCTTCTTTATTTTTTTTAATTGAAGTATAGTAGTCAGTTTGCAATGTTGTGTCAGTTTCTGGTGTGCTCACGTCTCCCTTTGACCTCAGGGGTCTCTCCCTCTGCTGTTGTGCTCAGTGTCTCGAACCTAGTGTTCCCAGGCTGTTCCCTCCCCCATGGAAGGCTCCCTCGGGTCCCACTTTACTAATTCTACTCACCCTTCAGTTGTCAACTAAAGCGTTCAGTGCTCGGGGATGGAGAAGGGGGTGCTTCGAGACTAGATTATATCTCAGCCACATGCTGCATGTCTTCGTCCCCCTTAGCCCCATTTTTAATTCGTTCAGTGTCTCTCTACAGGCTGTAAGCCCCGTGAGGGCTGGTCCCACATCCTTTTCATTCTTTGCCTTTTCCTAGCCCCAGTCCTCCCATATGGCAGGTAGGCAATAAATGCTTTTTGCATAAAATAAATAAAGGGATTAAAAAACTGAAAACCCCAGTCCTTTGGGAATAAGGATCACACGTCCCATGTGTGGCCCCGGAAGGCTGGCCTTAGATCAGTTGATATTTACACTGAAGTAAATGGTGAAAACTTTCTAAACTTTGGATCTGCCACACATGGAGTGGGCAGAAAGTAAGAAGCCTTCTGACTCTAGGTCAGAGGTTGCAAACCAAGAGTCTGTGGGCTGAATGTGCCCTGCCAACATATTTTGGTTGGCTCCAGCAGTGTTTTCAAAATTGAGACATATCACACCCAAATCTCTAGCTTCTCTTGGGAAAAATCTGAAAATAGGGTAACATGGACCTGAACTGCTGCTTGGCAACAAGTGACTAGAGCTGAGTAACAGCTGAGCGTGCTAGGTAGGTAGGCTGCATTCTCCTGATTACCGCAGTCCCCACTAGTCCCTATTGCCTGACTTACTGCATTCATTTATGCTACCTCGCTGGCCCTTGGAGGCATTTGAGTTTCTGTTCTCCTGTTCAGTAACTCCAAGCATTCAATGTACTGAAGCTAAATAACTGCTTAGTTGGTGGAGCTGAAGGATTAGAATGGCATCAATTAAATCAATCTCTTCCATCCCTATGATTATCTGAAATCAAATCACTTGGGATATGAAACCCTTTGCCTGCTTTAGAAAAGCTGATTTTTTTCCTTGTAATACCCCAGTGTATTCATTGTATGTCATTCAGCCAGAAGTATGTGATGCTATGCCCTGACTATGCAGTAGATAATAAATGTTTGGGTGGGTGGCCAGATGGACAGAAAGCACAGGAGAAGCATTTGTTTTCCTTTTTCTTACCTGGATTTGTCTCTGGCATGTGACATAGTACCAGTAGGGGGAGCCCTCTATTAATTTGGAAATCCATGAGAAGAATCTGTTCAGCAGTCTTAACATATTTAATTTAGGGATTATGCTAAGAATTTATCCCCTCGCTCTGCCCCAAGAATTCAAGTTAACATTAGGAAATTAATAAATTGCAGTTAGGAGAATGTGGCCTTCACCACTGATCTCCACCCAAGGCTTTTCTAGATGGAGACATTTCAAGTTAATATTTAGAGTCTTTTAATCCATTTGAAAGCAGCTATCATTAAAGTCTTAAAAATTTCCAAATTTGGGGGCACATTTAGTCCTTGAGGCCTCATGGTAATGGGCTGCTTCAGGCACAACTACAAAATGATAGGTTGGCCAACCTACATGACAACCACTCTTTCCATAGTTTTCATCTTTAAAAAATGAGGGAGTAGTTGTAGATTGGTGCTAAGGTTCTTTTCTAGCTCAAAGTAAAACTAGCTTGCAGGAGAAATGCCTTATAAATGGATGAAAATGTAAAAATCTCTTTGAGAACTTGGGGAATTATTTTCTCCTCCCCAAATCTGTCACTTTTGGAGAAATCAGAATATTTTGGGAAAATGTTAAGTAATGGAAGCTCTTAGCATATTATGGAGTGCTAAACTTAGAAAAACAATATATGGTGGTATATGCATTCTTTTCATCTTCATTTTTGTTTAGAGTTTATAAATTATGGCTTTAGAGTCATTATTATTAATTGGCAACCACTTCTCAGCTCTGGAAAGTTCTTTTTCTTTTGTTAAAACATTTTTAACAGATATCACAGCAGATTTTTTTTTTACAAAAGGAAAAGCTTTGTTTTTTATGGTGAGGTTGCATTTCAGGTTAAGTATTATGGTAGCGGGGAGGCAAGGAGGACTCATAACTTCCATAAAGACCTAAATGTTAATAGAGAGGAAAACCAAATCATACTCAGAAGTCTCAAACCACTGTAAAAACTTTATCTATTTAAGCTTTTCACACCTTGTGCAGTGGCTATTCTGTTAGCCATATAGTTGAGATTCTAAAAATTTCTAATTAAGTTTTATTCTCAGTACCACAGAGCTTAAATTATACAGTTTGTCAAAGGAAATGTGTGCTGTGTCATTCTAGTATGACTTCCAGTGGCGTTACCACCTAATTTCTCCAAAACAGGCATTGTGTAACATCGCTGATATTTATGTAATTCTTTTTGCTATTATACTATGATTTTTTAAAATTATTCTTAATGATTCCAATTGAAAATTTGCTTAAGGCGTTTGCATCTATTTCCTTTTAATTTGTGTGGGTGCGTTTTTCAGTCGCTTGAATTCAGATCCTGTTTACTCCAAGCTGGTTTCTCTGGGGTAGAAGGCAGAGCAGATGTGGACAAAGTGGCTATTCGTCATGTCCTGATTATTGGAAGGAATAACCTGGATTCTTGGGGCTTTGCCAATTCTAGGGCAAGTTGTTACACTGTACTTCTTACTTATATATATTGGTGATACAGGTGTCAATATTTGTTTTCTTATTTTACTAAAGTATCTTGAATTTTAGTCTTTTCATTGGGTTTTTGGTTATTTTTTTAAGCATTATGCGGTAGTGTTCTCTTTAGTCTGTTTGTTCTCTTCAATGAATGACCAAATGCCAGAGGTTACATGATACAAAAATAATTTGCTTGTAAAAAGGAATTACTTGCTTGTAAAACAATTTGCATAATTTGTATAATTTGCTTATGTTATCAGTTCTCATAGCAAACTCAAAAGTGGAAAACTTAGATGGGCTTTAGAGTGTAAAATAAGTTTCCTTCTGCAAACTCTTGATAACTGATGCCAGAGAAGTGAAAAGAAAAAAATGATTCATGTTAATTTCTTTTAGCAATAACATTAGTTGTGGGGGCTTTTCTAATTACAAAAGCAATGAAGCAGTTGCCAAAAATATGAGAAATATTTCAGAGTACTAAGATAGTTACATTTTAATATTACATTTTCAAGGATATTTTTAGGCTAGCCAATGCACTTTTGAGTTAGATAATACCAGTTTTGGTTTTGTATGAACTAAATCAGCCTTTTATTTATTTCCCAGCCCGAATATACATAGTTGTGGCAGTAAATACCAGTAAATATTCCACTCTTGAAATAGAATATTTGGTGTCCCCAAGAGGAATTCGAAATTGAGCTATTGTTGGTGAAGACGCAATTACCTTTGTATATGTCTGTACTCTGTGGCCAGCTTGCATGCAAAGTGATGTAGTATCTAGGTGTGATGTAACGTATACTGACCTTTTCCCCTTTGGTTGTAGGCTTCTAGGGCTTCTTCATGATGAGGATTGATGAAACTGTCACTAAAAAATAATTATCTCTATAAATAGGAAACATTTGCTTTTTCTGCAAGGATTTGAAGAGGTACTATTACATGACTTTTATCTATTTTTTAGAAAAGAAGTAAATTTAAATTGTTTGCTGTATACTTTTGGAAATAACCTCAACATAGGAGAAAACAAGTATAGAAATCATGTTTACTACTATTTTTTTAATATTCTTAACCACTGAACTTGGAAGTTATGGTAAGCTTATTTTAGCAATAGCTTAAAAGGAACAAAAATTTTCCTGGTAGAGCAATTATCACCTGCAGATGGCCTAAAATTAGCATATTGAGTTCACTCTAGAAACAGCTTGTGAGCTGTGAAATGGAGTTCAGACAGATAGTGAGATTTCACAGAGACACTTGGTATATGGTATAAATAACCAGATATCAAGATACCAATCAATGCATGTCAAGTAAAATGAGACTGCTAATAGCTTAGTTAAAATAGCCTATGTAAAACTTGATGTCAAGGAGAATCTCATTTGATGTGAACACAGTGAAGCCTTTCTACTTATACATAGAATATTAAGAATTATCTGTAGATACATACCCAAACAAAGAAAGCTTGAAATTGAATTTATGATGACCTGTATTTAGATTAGAAGGAAAGATAACTTTTAAGTATAGATGAAGGCAGTAATCAATTTTATAAAGCCTGTAGATTTCAGGTTAACTTTTCTCATGCTTTCCACTGTTGTTATATTTGACAAATCCAAGAAGGTATTCTATTCTATGGCAAGGAGAAATAATTTGGAGTCAGAATTTGAAAGGAGAAGCCAGTGAACAATGCAGAAGAATTTAACTTTTTCATAAGTGGATTTCTGTCTTTGCTGATGAATCATTTGGTCATTGAGCATTCTAACAAGGATTTCTGGCCTTTAATAGCCAGGCATTGAAAACACTGCTTCTTTGTGTTAAGTAATTAAAACTAATTGAGTTTTAATTCACATATAAAAAGAATGTATTTTAGTGCTTGCTTCAGCAGCACATACTAGAACTGGAACGACGCAGAGATGAGTAGCATGACCCTGTGCAAGGTTGACATGCAAATCTGTGAAGCATTGCGTATTTTTTATGTTAACCAAACTTACTGCGGTAATCTTTTCACAGTATATACATCTACCAAAGCACTGTTATCTACTGTAAACTAATAAAAAGTTACATGTCAATTATATCTCAATAAAACTGGGAGAAAAAAATGATGTATTTTGGACATGTTCATACACTGAAGACCAGCAGGACCAATTTAATGCTTAGCATGTTGTTGATAGAGTTTTATAAGTAAGAGTATATCTTATGGGGTTTTATTTTGTCTCTGATCATTTTCTGGATAATTTTTACCATTCAGAAAAGAGACATTTAATATATGACATATACAGTGTAAGGGAGAAAAAAGCTCCCAATATGTGCATTTGTATTTCCTTAATATCCTAGCATAAAGTGATATTTCATATTGAACTGTATTTAAATGTGTAAATTTATATCTTGGGGGAAAAAACCTGAATTGAACTTTAAAATTTGCATGACCACTTACTAAATATTCATATTGGTACTGAGATCCCTGGTCAGAATAAAGGAAAATATCAGCAGATCTTGTAAACTTCCCTGGTAGTTCTCCAGATCGATCACTGCCTGCAAATCCCATACCTTCTCCTCTTCTTTAGTTCCCTGTAGAAAAACTAAACAGTCAGTGGCTACCCTGTGAACTCCACTTAGCTGCTTTGCAGTTAACAAGTCTCATTTCAAATGAGACTTCCTTATGTGCATGTGCAGGCGCACCCCCCCCACCACACCAGTCCTAGCCCTGGGTGAGAACATTTCTTCATCAGTCTTCTCATTCCTCATCCTGTTTCTGGTGGTCCTCAGGACTTTGGGGACCTGCATAATTGCTTCTCGTCACAAAATGCTTGGGGACCACTTTATAATATGTTAGCTAAATCATTTTGGTCCCCTGATGAAATGTACTAAATAAAAAATATTTTCAGATACTGCTAAGAATGCATATAATCTATCCTTACAAATAAAATACACAACTGTTACTCTGCCTGATGTACATCTGTTTGTACTGGCATGAGAAGCTGTCCATGTGCAAATTGTCTAACAGATATAATAGGATGCACATATTTTTACTACTTTGTATGCTTTACTCATTCAACAAAAAGTTTTTTAAAATGCATGAGTTCTATGGCATATATTGTAATTTCTTTCAGCTGTTTGCATTTCTGTGGTTCTTGTGATTAGAACTTTTTTCTGCCTAGTGAACTCTTACTTACTCTTTCCAGACTTAACTGAAATGTAATCTGTGAACTCTACCTGATTCCCCAAACATAACTAGTTCTTCTCCTAAGCATTGGTGCCCTCTGTCTCTCCCTCTGTTGTACCACTTACAGCACTGTCTTGTAATCATGTATTTATATGAAGATCTGTTCTCCTGCTAGATTGTGAGCTCCCATCACCCAACTCTGGTTCAAGTACATAACATGCCCTCTACTGAATGAAAGCATGCCTCTTTATTACTTCATGTTGCTCCAGGCCATGAGTTGATATGCATGGAGCATTTTAAGAGCTCTTTTATTTTCTGTATTTGTTAAAGTAACATCAAATGTATTTTGTGGTTCCAGTTCTTTATTTTTTATCCATATGATTATTGAGGTTTTCTTTAAAAAAATAGCTTTATTATGGAGTAATTTGCATACCTAAATTCAGCCATTTTAACTGTACAATTGAATGGTTTTTAGTAAATTTACAGAACTGTGCAATGGTCACTACAATTTAATTTTAGAACAACTTTTTTTTACCCTAAAAAGCTCCCAACTGAGGTACTTGAAAATATGGCTGGAATGGTCCAGAAACTTATGTATGGTGAGTTGAACTGGATGACCTCAAAATGTGTCACTGTCTTTTACAGTGTCTATACTCTGTAGGGTACAACATGCTTAAGGGAGGCCTGGATACTTAGTGATGCTCCATCGTGAAGGAATAGTGCATGTTGGCAATAGGGGACACTAATTTCCTCCCTCCCGGGGGCTTACTCTGTGATGCATCTGTGCTGGTCCACTGTATACATTACCTTCCTGGAGATTCAGACTAGAGTAAGCTGCAGTGTAGATGACTTCTTCATTTAATGCACAGGGACCCAGCAGAAGAAGATAAGGAATGAACTCGAGGTCACACTGCTAGTAAGTAGAAGGGCTGGGATGAGCACTTTGGCCTGAGTACAAACCACGTCGCCTTAAACGTTCAGTAGCTACGTGTTGAGCAATTACTATACTCCTATAAAAAGATGAATCTTAGAAAACATTGTTAACAAATTTGAAGAGTTATTATTTAATCTGAGAAGAGAAGGGGTGACAGAATTGAAAGGATAAACTTTGAAACCAGCTTTTTCTTTGGGTAGAGACCTTACAGTTTGGGTAGAGACCGAGCAGGCACAGTCTGACTTGAGTGAAGCAGACCTAGGCAAGCAGAGAAATAGAATCGTGTTTTAACAAACTGAAATATTGAAGGTGTCGGGGGCTGTCTGCTAATTTCTGATCGAGTTTGCTTTGGTGATTATTTCTCTTTTAAGTCTTCAAATGTTCACCTTGGTTGGTCTTCAGCAACCCAAATGGTCAGTTATGTCACTTAGAATATTGGTTTGGCTGCTGTAATAAGAGATTTAGTAATGGCTTGCACAAAAGAGAAGTTTCTTTCTCCATCAGAGTCAAAGCTAGGTAGGTAATCAAGGTTTGGCATCACAGCTCCACAATCATTAGGAATCCTGCCTCTTATTCCCTCATTGCGCTGCCACCATTAGCATGTGGCTTTCACCTTGGGGTCTAAGGTGGCTGTTTTATATCCTTCCATCACATCTACTTTCTGGCCATCAAGAGGAGGACTAGGCAAAGAGAAGGACGTGTATTTTTTTCTCCTTTAAGGCATGACCAAGAAGTTGCATGTATTACTTGTGTTCACATCTTATTAGGCAGCGCACAGTCATAGGGCCATTTGCACTGTGACACAGAAGGCAGAAGGTAGTTTTTATGGAGGGCAGTGAGGATGGGAAGGAGAACATATAGCCAACTGAAAATTCAATTGTTAAGGAAAGAATGAATGTTGGGGGACAGTTGGCATTCTCTGCCCCATCATTCTATGAAGATAAGTTTAACATGGAAAGCATGGCCTTATACATAAGAAGGAGGGAGATGTGGAATGCTGCAGGCCAAACTCTTTCTTAGGGTCTCTCCTTTTTCATCTGGGCCAGAAGATTTGGCCAAATCTAGATACTTCTGTTGACATGATTCCCCTGGGCATTGAAGACACTACTTTGTCTGCTTCGAAGTTGGCAGTGTGTTAGTCTATCTTTTATGACGCAGTGTCAGTTTGGATTTGTGTTTCTCCTGGAAAAGTGTATGCAGTGGCTCCAAAGTTGGTATCTGGGTTGGGACTCCCATAGAGCAGATTCCACATTACTAAAGTCTGGATGCATTTTCTTCCTTCAAAAGATTTCTAGGAAAAAATTCTCTCCTCATCAGAATGCTATTTTAAGACACTATTGTTCAAGATAGAAAGCTTAAAATGCCTATACTTGGCAAGCATGCACACTTTTCTGTAACAAAATAACATTTGTTTCTTAGAAAACTGATGATATGTAGTCCAGAGTTCATGTTCCAACCTCAGCACTTAACTCTGACGTAGCCTTGACTAAGCCAGTGGAAGTATTGACTTTTCTTAGTTAATAGTATCTTAAAACAGAGTTTAGAAGTAGTTTCTGTCATCATACTATATATATTTAGTCAACAGTTAGGAAATCCTTTAAAAATGCATGTGTCATTTTTTTCATTGTTGGTTACTTGAGATCACAGATAACAGCTTTCTTTAAGGATGAATTTTACTCGCAACTAGTTTGAGCAAGAAGAGAAATAAATGTGAAGATACACTTAATATTTGAACATGTCACTTTATGGCCTCCTTCTAAAGGCTTTAAAAAAATTTTTTATTGAAGTATAGTTGATTTACAATGTTAGTTTCAGGTGTACAGCAAAGTAATTCAGTTATACATATACATACATACCTATTTTTTCTTTTCAGAGTCTTTTCCATTATATGTTATTATAAGAAATTGAATATAGTTTCCTGTGCTATATAGTAGGTCCTTCTTGTTTATCTGTTTTATATATAGTAATGTATGTCTAAAGGCTTTTTTGATGAGAAAAGATTATTTGAGCTCTTGAGATTAGAAAGCTTAAGTACGTTTGGTAGGCAGGATATTTCTCGTGATAACGTAAGTTTATTTCTGAGACTACATTTTCCAAAATGTAGATGTCACCATAAATCCTTAATTATTTGAAGATCTCTATGCCAGTATTACATTTCAGGCAAGACTAATTTTGGCCAAGTTCACTGAAAGTATTTGCAGTGTTATCTCCAGTAATTTCATCTGATTCCTTATTATGCGCTCTTGACACAGCCAAATGATACACAGTATACAAAATAAACTGCTCTCTGTAGAAGTGGTGAGCGGTTTCGTGATTCCTCCTTGTTTGTGTGGGTGAGTTCTCTCCACTCCCTCTGTTGCCTGCATCCTCAGTCATCACGGATGTTTTGTTTTTCTCTTTTGCAGATGACACGGTTGGTACTGCCCGGCATGGTAGAAAGGTGAGTCATAAGCTCACACACAGACACTAGAGTGACAGAGCTCGTGATTATTTATAGGGAGAATCCTTTCTTTGAAAAATTCATTAAAGTGACTAATGAACCTGTCCTCCATGTCTTAGCGACAGGGTGATGTGCCAGGCGAGTCACACGGTGGAGCATGAGTCATCCGGTGGTGGAGGCCTTTTCCACTCGATTCCCTTTTTATTTCCCTCTCCAGGGTTGTGGTGGTTCCTTTAGATCAGGATTAAAAAGGCTGCCTGAGTCACCATCACTAACTCAATTGCCTGCTATTCTGAGGGGGCGGATAGAGTTCCTGGGATATTCCCGGGAATGCCTTCTTAAAGCCGTAGGCTCTCAGAGCCCAAATCAGTGGAGCTTCATGAAGCAAGACCCCGCCCTCTGGTTTTGTTTTCTTACTGGGAGAATGGATGTGTAAGGAACTTAGGTGTGTTATTGAGTGATTATAAGATGTCAACCCCCCTCCCTTGGAGGAAAAGGCTGTGTCCCCTAGCCCCATCTGTGTTCCAGTTTGAATTGGGTTCCACTAGGATACATTCGGTATCTTCATTTTTATTGAGAACTGTGTTAAGTTCTTATAGTTGAAACAGCATGAAGTGTAAACTGGTAATTAAGCTCTGTTTCTCCCTTGGAGAAGCCTGGGTGACGACTAGATCTTCAAAGAAAACCTGTTGTAAAGAGTAGGGCTGGCTTGCTCAGCCATTTGCTAAATTTAGGGCTTCACAGTCATCCTTCCTCTGCAAAATAGCTTTGAGTTTAGAAGAGATCCGAAGGAATCACAGCTTTGCAAAGGGAAGACACAAGGACCCTACTTCTGTGAAGAGACTTCTGTGACCAGCTTCGGGCAGGGAATACAGCTCATGTTTATTGAGTACATGTTGTGTGCCAAGTGTTAGAATGGGAACTTGATATGTGCTCTCTCATTTAACTTTGATAGCCCTCCACCATTGTACAAATGAGGAAACTGAGGTTAGGAATTCGTTTTAGGGGGCAGCTGCTGCTCAGCAAGGCTCTTTGTTTGTAATTGCATTTTATATGTGGTTTTGTATATTTTAATCGCTTTGTTTCAGTAAAATTTCCCTTTAAAACCTTCCAACTACATATTGATGGTTGACAGGGGACTTGTGCTTCTGATGGTCAGATATGGAAGTGACAGTGGTCAAACCAGACCTGAAGCCTAGAAGATTACAGAGAATTAGTGCAGACAGAGTAGAACTTGAGAAGGATGAAATTTGGGCCATCAACTTAGTTCTACTTTTGATAACTGCAAGTGATACAGTATGAACTCAGGATAGTAAGTTTCATCCATTAAAAAAGAAATACTTATATTCCACAGAGGTACTGTATAAGGAATTTTTAAGCTGGTGAAAACCATATCAAAAGAGATACTGGGTTTGAAATCATTTTGTAGACCATGAAATATTAGATTTGAAGAGTCATAGAACTTCAAATTAGTTGAAACCAACCCCCCTCATTTGACATAAGAAGTGAGACCCAAAGAAACTGAGTGTCGTGAAGCTACGTAATTAGTTAGTAAATGATACAAACACAAGGTCCTCATACCTGTGTCTATAGACCTAGCAGCCTTGATCACAGTTGTAGCTGGAGCATTAGGTGTAGACAGAGGGAAGGATCCACGCATTCAACAGGCATTCATTGAATAAAGTTTATCATACAGAAGGTAAGCTGGATCCTTTCCTTCAAGAAACCAAATTGATTTTACACCGAGGTTGAGAAATGATCTGGTAGAAAGCGCATATAGGCTAGAGATTGAAACTGATATCATCAGGTGATTGTGGCACCTGCTAAGAATTAGTAAGAAATGTAAGTGGATTTTATGAATCGGTACTTTTGGATAGGAGAAGGAACAGCTACGTCTGCTTGAATTAAAGGAGTTACTACACTAGTTGTATTAGTCAGCATAGGCTAGCTACTATAACAGACCACTCCAGAATCTCAGTGGCTTAACACTGTAAAGGTTGAAGTAAGAGGGTATAGCTTAGTGATAGAGTACATGCTTAGGATGCATGAGGTCCTGGGTTCAATCCCCAGTGCCTCCACTAAAAATTAAAATAAAAGATTAATTAAAAAATACATAAAGAAACAATTACATCCCTGCTCCAAAAACAAATATACAGAAACCACTATACAGGTTGATTTTTTCCTTCACATCACAGTCCAATGTGGATAAGTGGTCGGGGCTCTGCTCCACCCAGTCATCCAGGGATCTCATGCTCCTTCCATCTAGGGGTGGGGGTGTAGGGGGCACTCCTCCCTCAGCCTTGTAGTTCTCTGCAGAATCATCTGCATCCAGCTGGCAGATAAGGGAAGAGAAAGTAAGGATGATTTTACTGGAGGTTTCATGGGCCAGGCCTGAAAACGGTGCACCTCACTTCTGCCCACTTTCCATTGTTCAGAACTCAGTCACAGACTACAGCTAATTGCAAGGGAGGCCAGAAATGTGAGCTGTGGGCCCAAGAGGAAAGAAATACTCCAAGTTCATGGATCACCTGAAAGCATTCTTACATACACCTTATAAGTGATTTTATTAAAGCCTGTCCTTTACACTGCCCCAAGTGGCACATTTCCTATGGTGCCTCACCATAGGTTTCGCACCTCCATTGAGGAACAGTGGAGCTCTTTAGAAAGATCCTTTGTTGTTGTTGTTTTTCCCCTTTCACTGATTCTACCTCTGATGTATGCATTTTTCCAAACCTTCTAGAACTATAGCCTACGGCCAACTGACTATCACTAAACAAGTCTCTGTAATCAAACTAAGGTATTATTACCATGGAAGTAGAAAGTGCATAATTACATTATAGAGGAAACTTGCTCTTTCCTCTTCCCTGGAATTATAAACATTGTGTACAGCTGGAGACAGGAGGTGGTTGCCATAACAACCATGGAGAAGCTAAAAATAGCCTCTTTCATACTGTATTGCTTAAGGTGGAATTATGACATGTTTTGGTGTTTTAGGGCAGGCACTTCTCTTTCATGTGGGAAATGTTTGCAAACTTTCTTCAACAAAGCAATATTTGTATAATGTATTTGGATTGCTGGTTCTAATTATATACCTGACCCCCATGTTCCAGGGTTCTTTCCTGACATAGAACTCTGTTTTGATGTTTCTCAATCTTCTTGAGAATCTGTTAGAGAAATATCTGTACCAATTTCAGTGCTATGTTTAAGCTTAAAAAAAAAATGACCCTCCAAGAGCACACTTACGTATATACTCCTGGATAAGAAATGAAAATATGAAGAATTGTGATGTAGTCTATTCTGCACAGTCTCCCTCATTTGCCATCACACTCTGTATCCAGTTAGCAGCCCACATTAGGACCAACCCTGTGTTCCCACACTTCACAGCAGAGTTTACGCCTCCCTGGCTCCCTCTCCTCACCTGCAGCGTGGAGCAGCGATGAGTTTCCTGAGGAAGGCAGAAATCAGTGACTTATGTCACGTGAGATCTGTCACTTCCTCTATGACAGTAGTATTTTTATAAGAGCTATGCACTGGGGTACTACAGCAGTCTGAGAGAGTAGTGGGCATGTATGGAAGAATAAAGGCTCAGTAATTTTTTATCCAAGTGATAATTAAGGAGAATTTTCTCACTGGGAATTTTTCAGGACTGAGGAAATTCTAGAAAGCATGGCTATAGGAAGCTGTGAATGCAAAGTACTAAATTTTATAGGGTTGGATGTGTTTAATGTTTGACTTGTAGGGTAGCTAGTAATTGAAGAGACTATTTTTCTATGAAAAGGTTCTTCCTTAGCAGTAGCGGTGTTTTCTGCTTTGTTTTTGCAGCGTTTTAATTCTAGTAGCTCCTCAATAACTCGCACCGCTGAGACACCATCGTGTGGCTTTTAGCAATTAAGCAGCATGATGAATGAAGAATGTCATATCACAGAAAACATTAGTCGACTTGTTTATTTGGATATTTGTCAGAACAAACTAGAAATGTGCTGAAGTATGAGCAACACAAGTCTTCATTATGGAGCTTCAGCAGATATTCTTAATGTACCTTCCAATCTTAGAATTGTTCCCCAAGTCCCCGGAAAATGAGAGATTAATCAGGGTTTGGTTTTATGTTTGTTTCTATGCACAACCAAGTGCAGCCCATTTTGTCCTTCTGCCTGATATAACAGAGTTGTCAGGAGTCTGGCTGTGCCATGGAAACTGGTTTGACGTCACTAATTCTGCTCAGACGGAGGATTAGAGCTCGACAAAGTAGATTTTAAAGACCGAGTCCTTTGTGCCTTGCAGTCCCAAGTGTTCCTCCCCCTCCCTCCATAAAGGGCACTGTATACAGTACCAGGATTAAGACAGCCATGCAAGTGTGTTATTTGTGATTCAGACAAAACTGAGCTGAATATCATCATCCTTGGGGAGAGCGACTTGTATGCTGTTGTGTGTGGGTGTGGGAGGAAGGGCTTTGCCAGGCAAACAAATACGCGTGCTTCTTCGTTTCACAGCGTTTTTGTGGAAGGGGTGTTTTCTCTCCTGTCATTTTGCTACAATTTTAAATACTGTCCTTTTTGTGTTAACTTAGGTACAGTGCATTCTCGCTTTATACTTTGTTGGTGTTGGATTTGTTTTTGTGCATTTTATAGTGCAAATATTGTGTTTTGCATAAAGTACCTTCAAATTCTGACTTTTCACTAACTCTTAACTCTACCCCCCTAGAGATTTTAAATTAGGGGAGAATATTTGAGAAACAAAAAATCTCAGTTGCCTCAAGGAGTAAACAGTTCAAGGCACATGCTTGCATAATTGTGACATATTTGATTATTGGTCTGCATCCATTTTGAAAACAGGAATGAGGTTTTTATCATCTTTGAGTTTTCCTGCATTGAAATCATTGCTTTGGTGAGGGAAGTTTTAAGCATCTATGTTGGTAAGGTCAAGATTTAATTTTTAAAATGCATTTGGTAATGTTAAAGTTCATTTTTGGAAGACTTTTAGATAGTATTTCATTTGTGAGGAATGAAATAAAAAATGTAAGGTTTTTGTTCAAGGACACACACAAGCGCCCCGGCCAATTAAGAGTATATCAGCGCACATGACCCAGCTGATCAAACCAGTGGTGATAGTCGCTACCGTGAAAAAACGTCATCTTGAGATTGGCTTTTCCTCAACTGCTGTGCACGAGTGAGGACATAGAAATTCCTGGTTGTATAAGAAAAGGTTAAAGTAAAACACTACCTAAACCTACCAGGATGTTTGGGGCTCGGGATGGGGTGCAACTGGTCAGGATTTGGGGTTACTTCTCAGAAAGCATATTGTGTTGCAGAAGATGTAGCTCTCAGCTTCTACTTGATTGGGATCTGCTCTGAGCTGAAAGGTGACATTCCCATATATCCTAAAAATGTTTTGCTCTCCCTCTCTCCTCTTTGATAGATTTATTGAGATATGTTTCACATATTATAAAATCTACTCATTTAAAGTCTACAATTTGGTGGTTTCTAGTATATTCACAGAGTTGTGTAACCATCCCCACAATCTACTTTCAGAATATTTTTAACACCCTAAGAAGGTAAAGATATTTTAAACATCATAAGTTAATACTATAATGAAAATTTGCAGTAACTGAAATGTCTTTTAATTCGGTTTGATCAAAGGGATTTCTCACAAATATAGATAAAATGAAATTACTAGATACTCATTGCTCATTCACCAGTTTTTGTCTTCGAGTAATTGGGTTTAACTCTTAATAGACACTCTTACTCTCTTAAAATTTAAAAAGAAAAGCCTTTTCTGTCTTTGTGAAAGACAAAAGTAAGAAAATACAGGCATGATACAATCAATACAATTAATACATAATGTAATTAATACATTGACTAAATATTTCCATTGTTCTTTGAAACCATAATATAACAATTTAAAATTTGAGATTTGATTTCTACACTTGACATGTTAATGGATTTCACTGCTTAGGAAAGTGTATATTGCCAATAAGGACTTCAGTTTCAAAAACAAAAACAGAAAGACAACTTGTTTTCAGTGATTCATTAAGCTGCGCGTCCAGACTTCCATTTGATGGTTGAAGAGGCATCTCGCCTAGAGGCTGGCAGATGGACTGGGTGACCTTTGGGGATTATTTCTTTTCAGATTTACGTCTAAACTAACTTAGATGCAATCTAATTATATCTTTTATTACTTTGCATAAAAGGGGGGTCTATCTAGTTCTTTTTTTAATTGTTAAAAAAAAAAAAGGCCTTGGGGGAAGTGAATTCAGACGAATAATGAGAAAGTAGAAAAAAAGGAACCGGATCTGAGGACGGGCAGTAGGTGGGATCAGGTTGCAGTGGCCAAAATTCCTAAAACCGTTAATTCCACGCTTCACCCAAGCCACACATGCCTGCTAGCAACTAGTATGTTTACAGCATTGCTTTTCTCAAACTAATTTTTATTGATTTGTAGAGTTAGTAATTCCCAATAACTTTCTGACTTTAACTTTCATTAATCTCTAAAAGGCACAGTAGAAATTGAGCTTTGCCTCTTGGCAAAAGAATATGGTTTGGGGAAAAAAAAAGAATATGGTTTGCTAAACTATAGAGTGCCATGATTTTATTTTATTTCTTTTTAATATATTTTTAAAATTTGCTTGTTGGGGGAGGTAATTGGGTTTATTTATTTATTTACTTATTTAGAGGAGGTACTGGGGAGTGAACCCAAGACCTCGTGCATGCTAAGCATGTGCTCTACCACTTAAGCTATACCCTCCCCCTAGAGTTCCATGATTTTAGAGTCTACTCATTATTTAGCACCTGAATATGTACAAACCAGGGAAAGCAGGAGGGGCCAGACATAACCATTCATTCGTTGCCAGAGGCTTTTATTGAGTACCTGTTAATAGGTTCAGGACTTTGCAGAGTGTTTTGGAGAAAAGTGTATAGGACAAGGGCTATAATGTCTAGAAGCTTATGGGTTTTGGGTTTTTTTTTTTTTTTTGAAGGAGAAAAATGTTTATACTCATAGAGTGATTAAATGCTCCAGGACGATAGTATGTGATGATATGTCAAATAAAAGCATACAAGGAGTAGGAGAGTGTTTTTACGAGTGAGAATTCTTGATGCTATGGCCAGAGAAGACCTCAGATGATAGACATCAACTCCAGGAGACTGAAGATCTAATCTGGTCATGCCCCAGATTACTAAAACTGAGAAATGAGCTAATTGCAAACAAGAGCTATTTTTAGTTGATTGAGTTATGCCTCATTCACTGACCAGGCATATCACATGCCCACAAAAGGCATGGAGAGATGTGTGTCAGGAAAACAGCTAGGTTATTCTGTTTCAAATAATTATATATCTCAATCTGTAGTTTACAGACAGTTGTATATTTGACTTCATCCTGTGTACTTGGTACATCTTCCTTTTTAGATCTAAAGGGGCGATTATCAACATTTCCTCTGCCAGTGGCCTGTACCCATTTCCACTGTTGACCATCTACTCTGCAACCAAGGTGAGCAATTTTTTAGTAAATTATGTCAGAATAATTTTCCGTTTGAGAAATGTGCATCGAACTTCCTTGAAGTTCTACCCTTAGCAGTTGTCAAATGGTCTGGGAAGAAAAGGAAAGTAGCCAATGCTGGTTTCAGAGGAGCCAGAGATGCAGATGCACTGATTGGTATCAGCTTTACAAATGGGGCAGCACCAAAATCTCAGATCCACAAATGCTTTTTTCTCCCAGTAGTTGACTGGTTTTTAAAATTGGTATTTGTACTTTCCAGCAGAGAGCTGGTCTAGGCCACTTAGCTTAGTTGATCAGAACATGATGTTTATGAGTCTAAGATTGGGGATTTGATTCATGAATGAGTCAGCTTCGTACAGATTAAGTTCCAAGGCTGTCCAGCCGAGTAGAAGGATTGAAGCTAGTCAGCACATAAATACACACAGTAGGCACGAGAGAGACGGGTGAGAGGGTGAGTGTTCTGCCACATTATTCAGAATTCGCAGATATTTATTGTCACTTCTAGAGTGAGACAAGAATTTCCGAGAACTCTCTGTAAGATGTCATAATTCTACACAACATCACCATTCACCTCGTCACGTTACTGCTAGGACGATAATTTAGAATGCATTTCATACTGCCTACAGGTCAAAAGCATTTTCAACTACATTGTTGAAGCAGAGGATGCATCTCTGAAATAAAAATGACCATTGAGATGCTGAAATCAAACAAGCTTTTAGGGGAAAATGAGCAAAATAAAATACACGATAAGAACTTGGCAATACGACGGGAAGGAAAAGAGCAAAACGCCCACCTTCTTGTTCACTTGGCTTTTTGTTCCCTGGAAGAACTTAAAGTGACAACGTACTGTATTTTGAAAAAGCTTGGCACCACCCCCGAATCCTATGATCTACCTGCTTTCTGTATCTCTAAAACATACAATAAGCTTGTTTAATATGAGCACCATGTTTCTTGAAGCAATTGGTGACTTCAACTTCTTCTTGCCTGTTCTGCTCTGTGGACACAAGATGATGACTTAATGGAGCCCTGGTAGAGTCATCACTGATACTTCAAGCCCAAGGTGGAGTCCACATTTGAAAAAATGGTACATTATATTTTACAAATAGATTTAAAGTTGTTCTGGTGGAAGAAGGTGGGCTATCATGTTCATCTCTAGACTTCTTGGATCTTGCCATCCCAAAGGACCAAGAGGATGCATGCTTTTCTCTTTACTGACAACAAAATCCCCAAAGAACATAGCTGAACAGAATTCACATTGTGTTTCCATTTGACTGGCAAGTGGAGAGGACGAATACATCCTTTGTTATATAATAAGACATTTCTTCTTGGAAAGTAATTTTCTGAAAAAAAGAAAAGATAGGAAGAACCTTTTCCAGTTAAGTCAAGTTTGATCTGGATATTATGTTTAGTTAGAGAATACTTAATTCAGTGGCAGATAAAAACAACTTGATATTCTGAGGTGTGTTTTTAAGGTCTCTTCTGCATTTGAAATAAAAAGAATGATTAGAAGCTATAGTGTTAAATGGTTAGTTGATTATTTTTGTTGCCATGGCTACAGATCGGGCAGATTGATGTAATGTGCATGTGTGTTCTCACTCCCACCCCCTCCCAGGCTTTTGTAGATTTCTTCTCCCAGAGCCTCCATGAGGAATATAAGAGCAAGGGCATCATTGTGCAGGTGAGTGGAGTTTGTTTCAGTTAAGCATCCCTGTTTTTGTGTGGTTTCCACGGCAACTGTTGCTGTCTTGGCAACGAAAGAAAATCACATTCCTAAGTGAATGTGACGTTAGCACACCATTAAAGACACGGTTTCTTTTTCCTTTATGCACTTAAGTCTAGATTTTGAACAGTTACTCCCTAGAATGTTTAAGTGGTAACACGTAAAGTAGAACTAAATGCAGTATGAACAGTTGAGGCATAATTATTGTAATTTCTCAATTTTTATTTTTGAGAGAATCAGACTGTCAATATCTCTTAGCTGCCAGGCATATAAGATGTGCCATGACTGTTCCAAAGCCACTCATTTATCACAAGAGGCAGAGAGCTGAATAAAGAGCTAACTCTTACTGGAGCAAGGGTGACTGCAACCACCAGGATGATATAGGTGTGGGAGCGATTTTTTTTAATCCTGGTAAAATAGACATAACCAAAAGCACCATTTCAACCACTTTTAAGTATGCAGTTCAGTGGCTTTAAGTATATTCACATTGTTGTGCAACCATCACTACCTTCCCTCTCCAGGACTTTTTTCATTTCCCAAAATGAAACTCTATCCATTAAACAGTAACCTTCCATTTCCCACTCCCCGAGCCCCTGACAGCCACCATTCTATTCCTGTCTCTGAATTTGACTATATGAGTGGAATCACATAATCACATGATCACACAGCATAATGTCTTCAAGTTTCATCCATGTTGTAGCATGGGGCAGAATTTCCTTTTTAAGGCTGAATAAAATTCCATTTTTTGTATACACTGCATTGTGTTTATCCATTCATCTGTCGATGGACATTTCAGTTTCCTCCCCTTCTTGGCTGCTATGAAAAATGGTGCTGTGAACATGAGTATATACCTATCTTTTTGAAAACTTGCTTTCAATTCTTCTGGATATGTACCCAGAAATGAAATTGCTGGATCATATAATAATTTTTTTTGAATAATCACCTTCTGTTTTCCATAGTAGCTATCCTATTTTACAGTCCTACCAGCAGTGCATAAGGGTTCCATTTTCTGTACATCCTCACCAATAAATACTTCTTTTCTGTTTGTTTGTTTGTTTTTAATAATTGCCATCCTAATAGGTGTGAAGTGGTATCTAATTGTGGTTTTGATTTTGACTTGCATTTCCTTAATGATTAGTGATGTTGAGCATCTGTTCAAATGTTTATTGGCCATTTGGCTGTCTTTGGAGAAATGTCTATTCAGGTCCTTTGCCCATTTTTTCATTGAGTTGTTTGCTTTTATTTTTGAATTGTGAGATTCTGGATATTAACTCTTTATTAGATATATTAGATGTATGATTTGCAAGTATTTTCTCCCATCCCATGGGTTACCTTTTCATTCTATGGATAGTGTCCTTTGATGCTCAAAAGTTTTACATTTTGATGTAGTCCAGTTTACCTATTTTTTGTTATTGCTGCCTGTGCTTTTGGTGTCATATCCAAAAAAAATCACTGCAAATCAAATGTCATGAGGCTTTCCCCCTATGTTGTCTTTCAAGAGTTTTATAGTTTTTAGCTCTTAGGTTTAGGCCTTCCATCCATTTTGACTTAATTTTTATAGAGACCCTCTTTTTTTTTTAATTGAAGTGTAATCAATTTACAATGTTGTGTTTATAGAGACCTTTGATTTTATTATGTAACTAACTAACAGATACAGAGCTGTAAAAATACAAAATACGAGAGGAAGCAAATATAGGAGCTTTTATGGGTATCTATCTCAAATCAGCTATTGTTCAACACCAAGAGATAATGGTTCACAGTATTTCCATCCTTAGGCACATTTTTAACAATGTCTTGGGGAAACTGCAATCCTTACCCCTTTCCTGCTCCTGCCCACAACCTGCCCCTACCTCTTCACACCCCCAGTGTTCATGGCTTTCAATTCTGTGAGCCTGATGTTTTCCTTTTTGTAACTTGAAGCCTCCAATGATCAATCATCATAGTAATAGCTAATATTTGAGGGGATACTTTTCAGGCACAGTGCTGAGCACTTGTTATGTGTCCAGTTATTTCATTGTGTCTCATAATGACCTCATAAGATGGTGTAATCATCATCATCTTTAAACTTATGGAAGTCCTCAGGGTTCAGAGAGGTTAAGCCACTTGCTAATGTCGAACCAGGATTCAAGTCACCAAAGCCTTCGTTTTTAACCACTGGGCTACTTGCTCCAGGCTTTTGGGACAGCGTTGAAACCTTATTGGCTTCATTTGTGCGCAGGCAGCCACGTGTCAGAGGGGTGCTGGGATGCCTAGTGCCATTTCCTCCTTTCTGTCTTTAGGGTGAATGTTTCCTCATCTTCTAGGGTCAGTTTAGTGCCTCCTCTAAATTCTTACCTGAGGTGTCCCCCAAGGGAGTCTCTAGATGTCATAGCCCTTTGGTGTTATTCTGATTTGCAGCTTCCCATCAACACTGGGTACACTGGGGAGGACAGGGCTTTCGAGAATCCTGATTTTTATATATGGAGCTATCCTACTCTCCCCTTTCCCCCTTCTTTGACACCAGTCATTTTAATGCTAAGCGCTCCAGCCTGCACGGTAGAACGAGTTGTATTTTGGTAGCAAGGAAATCAGCAAAGCATTCATGGGAGGTAAAGGCATCAGTTTTGACATTTTTTCATTCTGATGAATCTGTTGTATTCAAGCCATTAATTTAATACTTTTTAAACCATCTACTGAGAGTCCTGCATCTACTAAGCAGGATCTTAAAGGTCCATTGGTAGGTGACCTATAAGCAGTGTGACCAGAAGCTGCAAGTGTTTCAGTGACAAAAGGGAATCTTAGGCCTTGTGAGCATAGACGAGCAGTATCTAAAATTCTGTCAACACACAAGACTGTCTCTTCCTTTTTTCCGCATCTGGTTTCCTTCAAAGATCTTTTCTCCATACTCTCTGCCTCTTGATTTGCTGCAACTAGAAGCTACTACAAAAACATATTAGCATTTGGTTTACTTTGATAAACTTTTATTTTTCCCTAATCATGAATGATAGATTATGTAATTTCATTAATGACTGCCTTCCTTCACAGGAATTCATTCAAGGTTTAAACTTAGAATGAATTTGGTGAAAAAAATAAATGCTGAACTGTTAGTGAGGAAAGTACAATTGTCCCGTTGCTTTGGGAACACATGAGAATGCTGAAGTAGAAGACGATCTCATATTGATTCTGATCAAGGGGATCAAAAAGGTGGGATCTCAATGAAGCTCAGTTAAAAAGTATTGTTTTTTTCTCTGGTGGTGTGTTAAGTCTGCACATTTTTTGGTCCAGGAGTATTTATCAGCTGGCTTCCCCTTCCACTCTATCCCACATACTGTTTCCTGGGTGATCTTGTTAAAAACAAGTCTGATAACGTTGCTTTGCTTCGTAGCCCCCCAGGGGCTGCCCGTAGTGTTTAGCATTGAATTCAGACCCCACAAGGCCACCGCCTCTCTTGTCACTGTATCATCCCACTCTGCATTCCGGCTGGAGTGGACACTGTAGTGGCCGGTGTGTGCTCTGCCCTCTGCAATGCCCATGACTGGCCCCTCTGTCAGCCTGCCCTCTCCCCAACTCCTCTCCATGTCCACACTCCACATCTCTCTGCCCCGTTCACACCTGAGCCTGTGGACCCCGTCCATCTTTCAGGGTTTCTGTCACACTTCACCTGCCCTGGGAAGCCTTATCTCGGCTGCTGGTATGTTTGGTTATGCCTTCCCTTCTGCCCTCTTATTTCTTATTATATATGTCTGGCTGGGACTCTCTGGCCTGGAACTGTCCCCATTCCAGTGTATTCTTGAGAACAGGCTTTTTATTGTGTTTGTCTGTGTGTTGCTAATGGCACATGTAATTCCAGGCACACTAGAGACCTGCCATTTCCTGGCATCGCAGAAACTGGCTATGCATGTCCATGCTTTGTGATACACAGCCCTCTGTTTTAAGGCTTTTCAAGCTTCTTCTGTTGCTCCCATATACCTCTGGTCTTGAATTTTCAAACTCAGTATTTAAAGGGTTTCCCAGCTAATGTTCTAATGCCAAGTTTCAGTTTCTTCTAACTTTGGAGGGAAAGTTCTCTTTTAAGGTCTGCCTCCATGTGAAGGTCCAACAGATTGCTCTTTGGGGAGAGGAAGAGAGTAGGTTTCTCAAATTCTAGGTTGTTTTATATTCATTGCTAATTAATCATTTTGTCTTTGCTTTTCAATCCCCTTCTTTCCTATAATTATGTAAAGGCATTTAAAATTTCCTCCATGAATTCAGATTTGCCAATATACAAGCATTTCCTGGAAATGCAAGTCAGTAGCAACAAGTGATACAAGTGTCCTGGAGGTGAATTTTGACTCTGTCTGTTGAGGATAAGAAGTACATTCTCATAAATCTTATCAAAAGTGTGCTCTGTTGGTAAGAACTCTCTGTTCTCATTATTACCCCAGGCAAAATTATGCTTAACTCTTTCAAAGGGCAAAATCATAAGTGATCTGACTGGCTGGTTAGTGGGCCCCAGTACCCGATTCCTTCTGTGTGCCCCATACCAACTTGCTGTTAATGCTGAGCAGGTAAGAAATAGCTAAGACTAAGATGGCATCCTAAAACAACACTTCTTGAACTCTTATTCTGTAAAACTTTCACAAACCGTCTTGTTTTTTTTAAAAAACTTTGGATTTGGAAATAATTTCAAGTCTACAGAGAACTCGTAAGAATAAGAATAGTACAAAAGACACCCCAGTACTCTACCCAGATTCACTTATTGTTAACATTTTACTCCATTTGTTTTATCATTGGGAAGTGAGCTGCATACATCATGTTTCCTTACCTCTAACTCCTTTAGTGTGTATTTCCAAAGAATAAGGATATCCTTTTACATAACCACAGTTCAGTTACCAACTTTAGAATTAACATTGATGTAGTATTTTTTTTTAACTTTTTGGGGGGTGGTAATTTGGTTTGTTTGTATGTTTGTTTGTTTAATGGAAGTACTGGGGATGGAATCCAGGACCTTATGCATGCTAAGCATGTGCTCTACCACTGAGCTAGCTATATCCTACCCTGATGTAGTATTTTTGTCTAATATGCCCTTTGTATTCCAATTTTTGACTCCGTGGTGTCCTCTATAGCATTTTTTTAATCCTCCTGTAAAGAATTCAATCTAGGACCAGGTATTATACAGCTTTCCTGTCTCTTTAGTTCCCTTTAATCTGGAATACATCCACAGCTCCTTTTAATCAAACATTCCTCATTTGGGATTTCTCTGATGCTTCCTCATGGTTAGGTTCAGGTTATGCTTTCCTGGCCAAAATTACATACGTGACATTGTATCTGTCTCAGGGCATCACATTCAGAGACACATGATATCCACCTGCCCCCTCACTGGTGATGTTGATTTTGAGCCTTCATTCGAGTTACCCAGTTTCTCTGCTCTGTCATTACTGTTCTTCCCCCTTGCACTAATGAGCCACTTGTGGGGAGACACTTTGAAGACCATGCAAATGTCCTGCTCCCTGTTACAGTTTCCTCTACATTTAGCATCAAGCAATGATTCTTCACAAATCTGGCTTATGAAGAGCTTTCTGATGCTAAAGAATTTATAAAGCCCTGCCCAGATATTTAGCCACTTCAAACCAAGAAGTCACAGCTCTCTCAGTCCAGGCTGTGGTTTTATGCAGACTGCATTTATGACTGCTGTGCTCAGAGGCAGTGAGGGAAGGATGCTGAGCCCAGAGTCAACCAACCAAGGTTTTAGCTCTGATGTCCCCATAGAAAGCTGCTTCATTACTGTGAGACTTAGCCTCCCCCTCCAGCAGGTGGGGACACATGATGTAGCATCTGTAAAAACACTGAAAACTGTGAAATGGGAAGAAAGAAATTTGCATTTATTGACTGTCTACAACATGCCTCATATTTTCACCTACTTTGTTATCCTGTTTGAGGCAGACATTAACCTAGTCCCATTTTACGAATGGGAAGCTAACAATCAATAGGAATCATGTAACTTGCCTCAGGTCAGTGCAGCTCACCAGCCAGCGCAGCGCCTGCCCCTGGCCAGCTCTTTAGTGAGGCAGGGAGGAGGCCAAGGGAATCAGACACAGTCCCTGTCCTCAAGGCACCCACAGAGAGAGAAGACAGAGATTTAAACACATGACAATGACAAGGGATACTAAGTCCAAAACTAGAAGCATATATCGTGTTCCACATGCCCTCAGTCAAGGAAAACTGAGAAGGAGCTAGCAGGGAGCTGGGGACGCAATGGCAGAAAGACAGATGGAGTCCCTGCTGTGGCAGAGTTGATGTTTAGTGGGAAGGAGACAGATAATAAATAAGCAAATACAGGACTGAGATGGTTTTACATAGTGTCAGCCCTGTGAAGAACCTAAAGGCAGCTGCTATGTTGGGGAATGTGGGAAGGAGTAGGAAATTTACCCATCTGTGTTGGTGATGTGGGTTTGGATAACACCGGGGTCTGTGCTCTTTCTGCAATGCCTTCTTGCTTCTCCTTGGGTGTTACTCGGCACCGTGGTTTTCTTCCCTGGAGCTGGGAAGCCAGGTCTCTGGAAGCGCTCTCAACAAGGAGATTGTTTGCTAACTAAAACCGTCCTGTAAGGTTTAGTTGACCTGACTCTCTACCCGAGGAAAGATGAGGAGGCAAGTGGAGACCACCCAGACCCAGAGAAAGCGGGTATTAATTCGGTTAAAAACGTAGCTTTAAATCAGCTTAAATTTAGAAAACAAACAGGATGAATTGAGAAGAGGGAGAAAACAAAATTCAAGTTTATTTTTTAAATGAAAGAAGATATTCCTATTTTATGTTTTGGTAAAACATTCTATTGCTCAGAGTTGTCATATAGATCTACCAGGCTTCACAGAGCTAGAAAGCCAAACATGGAGACATGGCTGTCAGGATTGCAAAGCAAACGTAAGTCCTCATCCATTCTTCTCGTTAATTGCCAGTGACAATAAAAGAAGGTAATGGAGTGTATTTTTAGTGCAAACAGAGTCTAAATACAGAGAACTATAAAGCAACAGAAAGAGTCTCCCAGGATATATTCATATCTGGTCAACTGCACCAACATAAGAAATGGCTTAAGGATAAAATTAGTCCTGTTGGGATCATTGGACCCAGATCCCTTCCAACTAGGTGAAGCCCCATTTTTTATCAGTGATGATATCTTTTTTTTTCTTGGCCTTTTACAACAGTGTTGTACCACAAGCACTAAAAACCTAAGATGTCCTTTAATCCTTCAAACCACATTAAATCTGTATCCAGAAAGTACTCAGATATCCGGGTGGCTACCTCAGTCATTTTGTATAGGTTCTTACACCTCTTATAGGATATAAAAATTCAGCCAAGTTTTTCTTTCCAAATTCATTCTGAAAAATATAAATCTTAGAAAACTCAGAAAATAATTGCTGAGTTCAAATCCCATACTCTTTAACTGATAGTATGTTATTTAATCCTCATAATACAATAGGGAAGATGCTTTATCCTCCAATGAAGCTCAGCATTTTGCTCAAGATCTCACAGCTCATAAGTGGTCAAGTGGAATCTGAATCCAAGTCTATCTGACTTCTAAGCTGATGTTTTTTCCCCCTGTACCTTGCTTATTCTTTCCATCAGGAAATCCTACTGACTTTAGTTTATCCTTTAAATATATCCACTTTCTGGCAGGGGAAGCAGAGGGTATAGCTCAGTGGTGGAGTGCATGTTTAGCATGCACGAGGTCCTAGGTTCAATCCCCAGTACCTCCATTTAAAAAGTAAATAAATAAGCCTAATTTAAAAAAAAATCCACTTCTGATGACTGCCATTCCTACTACTCTAATCTGAGCCACCATGACCTCTTGTCCTGGACACTTGGGGGTGCCTATGCTCAG